TATTTTTTATTAATTTCTATGCAGTAGTTTTTGAGTAATAAATAAATAAAAAATTCCAAAATTTTTTGCATCACACTATATATATTGCATTTTAGTTTTTTGATAATTTTATTTATAGATTTGATAATTTAAGCTAATTGAACTTTTTGAAATATTTATTAAAAGATTTGGAATTATATTCTATTTGATTTTTAAAGTTCTTAAATTTGATAATTTATATTAATTTTTTTTATATCTATAGTTATTCAAGTTAAATTATAATATGAAAAATTGTTTATTAATTATTAACAATTATTAATTTATTATTAATTTATTATTTATTTATTTATTTTAATTTCTATTAATTTTTTATAAATAATATGATTTATTATATTATTATCTAGAAAAAATATTGATAAAATTTCTTTTTTAATATAATTTAAATAGTTATTTAAATAAATTAATATTTAATTCAAATAGTATTTCTAAAACTTCAACAAATTTTAGTTTAGCAGTCCTATAGTTACACAGGTTCAAGCTATACTATCAAAACTTCAACAATTTAATCTTAGCAGTTTTATGATTTTATAAATTCAAATTATATTCTTAAAATTTTTAACTTTGATTTTTTCTTATATAATATTTATTATAATTATAAAAATTATTTTTTTATTATTTTTTTTAGTTATGTAAATTGTTTATTTAATGTCTATTCCAATTACATAAATTATTTTTCCAATATCTATACTAGCTATATATAGTATATTATTCTTTTAATATTTATACTAGCTATATACAGTATATTATTCTTCTAATATCTACTATAACCATATAAATAATCTTTTCAACATTCATAATAACATAACTATTTATGAACAAGTATAAGCCATTTATGAATTATTTCTACTGTGATACTACTATAATTCCAAAAATTGAAATTGAACAGATTTGTATAGACTTATATGAGGTTTGAAACACTATTAAAAATAATGGTGGGTTATAACCCACATAGTAAATTTAATATAAACTTGAAAATCAAAAATTGAATTGAATTATTAGGATCCTTAGATATCACTTATATAGTGTAATATTATTTTAAAAGTCTATATGCAATAATCTAGCATTAACTTAAATAGATGTTTAATGTACTGATTAGATTACTAATAATCAATAAAATCACACATTTTATGCTAAAAAAAAAATAATAGTATTTAATTTTTGTAAATTAAAAAATATAAGTTCTTTTTCAAACGTACATTTTTGTATATATACTATAATAAAGAATTAATATTTATCAAAAAAAATAATTACAGTTTAATACTTAATGTTTCTTTATAATAAAAAAAAAATACCAAAATTTTTTATTTATAATAAATTATTCACGAGATTTATTCATCGTATATCACGTGAAATATATATACCCCCAAAATAGAAACTTAAACCCACTAAGTTGGATCCTTAAAATCACGAGATGATCTGCGAGATATTTTCTTCGATAAATTGTTGTTTTATATTGTACAAGGTACTGTACTCTGATTTCGGATTCACATAAAACGTAATTTTTGTGTAACTCAGATCGGAGAAAAAGTTTACAAAACGGCATATAAACATTTCGATACACACCTACACCATCCGTATGCCTGAAATATAGACAAAGCTTTATTAACATCAACATATAACACAATAATCATGTAATCTTTGTGTTAATGTGTGATACAATGGCATCGGAATTATAAAAATTTTACTTTTCATTAGCTTATTCATTTTTTATTGAGACTATTTGTATTAATCGCGAATAATAAAAAAACTAGATATTATACATACACATGTTAGAAATTCTATTGCATTACACACCAATAAATGATAAAACACACTTGCCATTTTTATCACAGCTCATGAAGGTGATAAACGCAACATATAATTACTGACTGGATCAATAGGATCAGACTTGCTATTTTAAGTCTTTGAAAAGCATCCAATAACTTGACTAACTAGTCTCGAAAGCAAAACATGGATCTGAAGAGATCATATAAATAGTATAAATCAAGTACTCTTGTTGGTAACGTAAATTGGGACAATGTTCTTCGGCAATAAAGTCCACAACCAACTATAGATCAAACAATTATAACCTATAAACAACATAAATTATAGGTTCAATTCCAAGAATTAAAATAAACATTAGAAAAAAATGCGTAAAAATAAGGAGCAAAGTTTTACCTTTTGCTTGAAACCCGAATACCTTGAATTCCTTAGCCAGTGTAAATTCACACGTTTTATATTCTTCGAGAAGATTATTAAGAGCATCTACCATGCACCGATCAAGTTTGATCTTATCTCCTGGGGCTCCGGATAATTCAAATATTGGAATTTCTTTGTCATCAGCATTTACAATAGACCCAACACAATCAGACTTGGATCCGATCCGTCGTCTTTTTCCTTCTGATAGATTAAAGTTTCGACGGGTAGCTGAAGATGAACTCGAAATCTCTCCCCTACAATATTCTCATTGGTAAGCCAATAAAAGGTATCAAACAGTCAATTACGTAGGCAATCCAAAAAAAAAGGTAGTTCTCGCATACCAATTTAACTCCATGAGGTCCTTGAATATAAAAATAAATGGTTCCATAATTGGTTCTATAAACCTTGCTCGGAATGTTCCCTCAGTGGTTGGTCATTGTGCAAAGTATTCAGGTCGATTTTCAAGACAGAAAATACTGTCATTTCAATATTATTAGTCAGATAAATATTCATACAGCATGATACCAACAGCACTTACAAATGATCAAAGACTTTATGTGTATATTTTTCTTCTTCATTATCGTCTGTTTTGTAAGAATCAATTGATTCTCGTATTTGTTTAATACTAATATCTTTCAAATAATTGTCGATTTGTTTCTCTACAGAAGAAGGTAGATTTGTTGATATATTTGAAGAGGAAATGATATTTTTCCAGGCGTCATTTGAGCAGAATGCAGGTTTGGTTTGTTCCGATATATTATCCAAATCAATGATATAAGCATAATATTTTCTATATGGAATAAATGTAAAATGAAGGTCAATTGGACAAGCGAAAAAAATTTAAATACTTACTCCTCGGTACTTTCTTCACTATCATCATCCCTAGCATGCGAATCATTCGAATCATGAATTTTATCATCATCCTCAGTGTGCGAATCATCTGAATCATCTAGTTGAATCAGATTATTTCTATTTTGGACCTAAACAAAAAATAGAACATATTTTAAGAGAAGATCTCAAAACAAATGATTTATTATATGCATAATATATAGAAAGTATTCACCAGTTCCGAGAAACCTTCGAAGTGCATAGAAAATAGTGTATTACCGAGCTCACGTTTCTTCTGCCGATCACTAACCTCTTCCCAAAAGCTGACCACATCCCGTGACTTTTGTTCTTTCTATTAGAAGAGAAAGTTAATATATCCAAACTTTTAAAACAATCTAACAGGATTGAGCAAGGGACCCAAATCAACTATGGTGCCAAAACAGAGGATGGCCCAATAGAAGAAGGAACCCAGAAAAATGTGAGCGAAAAACAGAGGATTCTACCACACGTGAAAACAGAGGATCACAGTGGCTTCACACCTTTCAGTTGTAACATTCTCTGAAAACAGAGGATCTTGCCCTGCATCCAAAACTGAGGATGGATGTAGATGGAATGTTCCAACTTCTGCTCAAACCTGTACAAAAATTATCCTTAAATAAAATTATTACAACCTTAAAGTTGTCGACGCTTTTCTTCGCAAGCTTTTGAATAGGTACTGAAGAATGTTTTTTTAAGATTTTGCTGATAGTATCGATCCACTTTCTATGCACGTTTTTCTTTTCGCAAACTTTAAGTGTGCCACAATTTAAGCTACATAAATATTCAAGGGGGTAGTTGGATACGTCAGGCTTCTCTAAAACCTTTACAAATGGTTCCCATTCTTTGCGCGAAGTATCTACACCTGATTTTTTTCGTTTTGGTATTTTTTTTTAAATCCAACGGTGTCAGATATCGGATATATTGATATTGGTCCATCATGTGACTCGAAGAATTTCGGTTTCTATTTTCGGAAATCCCTTACATTAATACTACTAGAAAGTGTCCGACTGCAATATAATTTAAATAAATCTATCTGTTAACACGGAATTTTCATTGTTTCAATATATTAACAGTAATAATAACAATTAATAATTTTATTTTTTAAAAAAGATTATATCATTGAAATTTTTTTTTCTTAACTAATATAATCATAGTTCTAACTTCTAATACTATATATATTTTAGTAATTATATAAATTAAATTAATAAGTTAAAACAGAAATTAAAAATTAAAAATTGATTTATTTAAGCCTTTAAAATTAAAAAAATAAAATAAAATAAAAGATCTTCTAATATTATAAATATAAAGTATGGTTTATTTGTAAAATATTATTTTTTTATTAAATAAAAAAATAAAAAAAATTATTATTATTTTTTTAATCAAGATTTTTTTCAAACTGTAGTCTTTATAATTGTAAATTTTTTACAAAATAATTAATTTTTAATATAAAATTTATTAAAGTAAGAATATATTAAGACATTTACTATAAATACTAATTTATTATTTTAAGATAAATATATTTTATAAAACTTATTGAAAAAAAAGGTAAAAAAACTATTTATCTATAAATGAAAATATAAATTTCTTTATTATAAAAAATATAAAGAATTCAAATTTATTAAAAAAAAATATTATTATTATAACTTTTTCAATTAAATATAATTGATAATTAATAATAAAAATTTCTATTTCTTAAATTATAAGATATTTTTTTATAATATTTAAAAATTTTATATTAAAATTTTATTTCTTTTTTCTTTTTTTAAATAATTAAAATATTTTTTAAAAAATTTATATAATATTAGTTTTTAATTTATATTATTTATTAATAGTATTTATTTTTTATTTATTTAATAAAAATTTAAATTATATCTAATTTTTTTTAAAAAACTTTAAAAAAATTAAAAACAAAAACTTTATAAAATTTATACTTCATATAATTATTTAAAAAAACAATAAAAAACAACATCAAATATATATTAAAAGCAAATAACTAATATTTTTTTTTTTTTTTTTTTTTTTTTTTTTTTAAAAAAGTTAAACAGCATTAGATGCAAATTCTTTATTGATAACAATATATTCATTACATCACACATCTTTTGTAATACATAACTACAACTAAATATTAGCCTATCAACTTTATTCATCTGATACCCAGAAGCCTGTCACTTAATGACCTTTCCTTGTAATACCAGGAGGCTATAGGGGATAGAAATCCTACCACTAGTTTTAAACTACCTAACCTATAGGGCTTATATGCTTATGAGGGGCTTATACTGTTAATTATCTTATATAGATTACCTTTCACATCACACTTCTCTCAATCCATCACATGAGCAGAGGGAAACCTTCGACGCAAGCACATACTCCCTAGTGAATGCTCCAGTTTTGACCGCTGATTGGACACTACCAAATCTAGGGGCCATTTTGGCCAAGTTGGGTGTGACTCCTTAAAGATCTATGTAAATGTGGGTTTGCAAGACACCACCTATAGATCAATTCTTAAACTCCTAATAGACATTCCAGATTCGGACCAGTTGACATAAGCTGCCAAATCTAGGGGTCATTTTGATCAAGCAGGGCGCAATTCCTATGTACTCTGTCTCGCCGCATGGCTAGCCGTGTCATCCCATGATGGCACCGGATTGGTTCTCTCTTCAAGGCTTTCTACTTTCGGTAATTAACAGTGGGAGAGGCTTAACTGGGTTAGTTAAGATGGAGTACAGCCCAGTCTATACTTTCAAATGTATGGTTGGTTCTTGGCATCTTGTCTGATGATCATCATACCACTTCCAGACAATTATCGCGTCACATATCTTTCTTGGAAATCATAATCCTATCGTCCTACTGGATCAGCGTATGAATGACTTCTTATAGGAAACAGGGCTCTTATAGGTTATGGCCCCAGATACCATTTTTAATGCGATTCAACCGTCTTTATCTGGGGTTGAACTGATATCTTGTGATCTGACCTGTGGAGTGTTAACCACTACACTATAGACCCACAGGTCTAGCAAATAACTAATATCTTTATTTTATATTTGGATATTATATATTGTTCTATTAGAAAATTTTTAAATAAATATTATTTTTTAAAAAAGATAATAAGTTAATATACAGAGGGTTGCCAAAAGTTTATGGACACTTTTTAAAAATTTAAAAAAAATTTTTTTATAATAATATATTTATATATCAATCATAAATCTGACTTTTATTATATGACTAATATTTTGTAGAGCCCCCTTCTGCCATAATACAAGCTTCAATGCGACATGGCATACTCTTGACTAATCGCTGACAATCATTTAGACTTATTTCACTCCAACACTTTTTAACAAGATCCTCGAGTTCTGTTAAATTTTTAGGCTTAGGTGTAATTTTTCGAAGACGACATTTAACGAGATTCCAGAGATTTTCGATCGGGTTAAGATCTGGGCTTTGTGAAGGCCAGTCCATAACTCGAACATTTTTTTCAGTGAGAAACTTTTTCGTAATTTTCGCGGCGTGCGGTCATGCATTATCATGCTGAAACCAAGGACGACCAATACTATTCCACTTGGTTATAAAAGATTTTCGAAGGACCGGTAGAAGATTCTCTTGAAGAGTTTCGACGTATGACTTCGTTAGGGAAAAAAAAAGGTAAGTGTAATAAAAAAAAAATTTTTTTTTTTTCTTGTTTTTTTTTCTTTTTTTTTTTTTCAATTTTTTTTTTTCTTTTCTTGTTTTCTTTTCTTTTTTTTCAATTTTTTTTTAACTTCTAGATGAACCTGTAACCGACGTACGGAGAGAAACTAGAGAACCAACGCCAAATCACGAGAAACACCCCAATGCATACGGCTTGGACTGTGGCTAACGGTTTCTGAAACACAGTCAATATTCCACTCTTCGTGTGGCTTGTACCATACACGGTATTTGCTTCCCTGCTGAAATTGAGTGAACGTTGACTCGTCACTTCAAATTACCTTTTTGAAGTCATTAACGGTCCATTCTTTATGCTCAAGGCACCAGCGAAGCCTGTTTTCAATATTCTT